CGAAAGGTCAGATGTACAGGGGAGGGGGAGGGGGAGGGGGTTGTTGCAGCTCCATATTGATTGACAAATAAGCCTTTCAGTTTATCTCATCTACATTTACTTTCAATCAATACTGTAAGGAGAAAAAAAGAACAATAACAATGACGATAAAGATGATGATGATGATAAAGATGATAATGATGACCATGATAAAAATTATGACTGCCCTTTAAAGAAAACTTGGGAAAGAACTAGGTGTCATTTATATTTCGCGTATGTCATTTAGTTTTGTTGTTAACAGTGGAGTGATTCATCCTGTAAAGTGAATAACTCTATATCACCCTGTATGGCTCTAAAAAAGACTGCAATTTTCTTTGGACTACTCAAACTTTGAGACTGTTCACAGCTTTGATAACAAAGGAGCTCCTTGGTGCTGAAGCTGACGTAAATAAGGCAATTGTCCTGAAGCCTTTAGGACCTGTTTACAGTCATAGAAACGCACTGGGGTTTGCTCTTGGATCTTTAAGATGCCTATATCGGAAAGCCAAGTAAATTCCCAAAAACTGAAAGAGTAAATAAATAAATAAAGTAATTTACTAGATGAATTAACCATAAAATAACTGAAAACTTCTACTAGTCCCAAGACTGGTGATCAGCTTTGTTCTCAGATGTTTGTAGTTGTTCTAGTTGGTCAGTTTATCAGCCAGGCAGCAGGTAAGTCAAGCAAGAAGTAGGCAGTTTCTCTGTCAGCAAGTCAATTAGTCAGGCATTAAATTGTATTTCAGCCAACTGGCCTGTTAGACAGTCAGTCAGTGCATAGGCTGGCATGACAGCTGGCCAAACAGACTGACAGACAAACAGTCAGTCAATCAGCAAAGGAAGTCACTCAGTCAGTCAGTTGTTCATTTTGTTGCCATGTCAATATGTTAATCTGTTGGTCAGCCAATTACCATCAGTCACACAGAGTCAGTTTCTCCCTTTGACTCCTAAGAGTGACTAACATTTCATTTCTCCGGAATCACACATTAAGGTCACAATAAGGAAACAATGACCAACTTAAAAGGCTTTTGGTTGCTTATAAATAACAAATTCTCCTTGCCAGCATTTTACAAAATGTATGAGGAATGGTATGGAGAATATTCATGTTTATGCTGGGGTATTACGGGTTTTAGGAAGTAAATCAGCCCTTACCATTGTAAAACTAAAAAAGAGACCTATTCCTCCCACAGCATTCTTTAATGTGTCCAAGCCATTGTCCCTTAAATAGCCATAGCAAGTAGGACAATTGCTACAGGTATATGCCTTTTCTCTGTCACAACAACGAAGCTGAAAAAAAGAGAAATGACATTGGACTGTTGGACTGTCATACTAATACAAAACTAGGACTGGAAATTTGCCTAAACCTGGGGAAAGTAACAAATTTAATCCAAGGTATACCCAACTAATAATTCTTTCTTTGAAGTAAACACACTGTATAAAAAGTATGGATGTTAGAAAGAGTCCAATCTATGTGCATTGCCACTACAAACTAAAAGTATCAAATCAATGAGTTGGTATCAAATCGAAAACTATTTCAAATCAAAAGAAATATGTGATCATAAATACCCCACTACATGATGGGTGATCTTTAGTTTCATTCTTGTATGTTGCATTGAAACCACAGCAGTGTCCAGCTTTCTGAACTTCTTCTTTAGTTTTGTTACTAACAGATTTCCAAGCTTTCCACATAAGGTTATCCCTCTGAGTTGATGATATGGAGAGTGCAGCCAAAGATACAGAAAATAGAATTATGAACAAGATAACCATGATTGCCATGAACTGATGGTAGCTAAGGATACAAACTTCTTCAAGCCAAAGCCCTTTAACCCCTAAAAGTAACCAGTATCTAATTTCTCCTCACAATCTCATCCATAAAACACACGTAAAGGTCAGGAGAATAAAAGAAATGATCACCAACTAAAGAGGTTCTAAACCAAAATATATTAAAGTTCACATGGCAACCAGGTGGACAATCAGACATAGTTTGACGCTACTCTGGTCTACTCTAACCAGAGTAGCGTCAAACTACGTCTGAAGTTCTAAAGCCTTCAACTCCCAAGATCTTATTGATATCAGACATAGTTTGAAGCTACACTGGTTTGCAGATTTAATGAATGTAACCGAAGAAGTTACAATTCATAGACCCAACGTTTCGACACTCCTGTCTAGTGCCTTCATCAGGGGTGATCTAAACGCTGCAACAAGAGGTCCTTTTATATGATCACTAATTAGCGATATAAAAGGACCTCTTGTTGCAGCGTTTAGATCACCCCTGATGAAGGCACTAGACAGGAGTGTCGAAACGTTGGGTCTATGAATTGTAACTTCTTCGGTTACATTCATTAAATCTGCAAACCAGTGTAGCTTCAAACTATGTCTGATTGTCCACCTGGTTGCCGTGTGAACTTTAATATATTTTATCTTATGGGTAATTCTCCCCTCTAGCTGCTACACATATCCCTGTAAATTAGTTATGAAAATTTGGTGTTAGATCAAGGCAACAACTTCTACCTGATAAGTTTGAATATTCTCATTAGCTGTTTGCTGAATAATGTAAGGATATTATGGGGGGAAATTTCATGTTGATCACTTCTGGGAGTTAAAGGGTTAACCCTTTAACTCCCAGAAGTGACCAAGACAAAATTTCTCCCTACAATATCAATACAATATCAACCAGATGAGTAATGAGAATAAAGAAAAATTTCAATTTAGAGATAATTAGTTGATCCAATACTAAATTCTCTGAACTAACATCATAAGAATTGTATGGCTGACAGTAAGGAGAATTACAAATTTGTTCTGGGAGTTAAAGGGTTAAACAGATTACCATAATTATGGGATATGCATACTGCTGAAAAGGTGTAAGAGGTTCACCCTTTGACCCTTACGAGTGACTGGCATCTAAATTCTCCTTACAATATCACCCCTGAATCACACATTAAGGTCATGGGAATAAAGGTAATGATCACCAACTAAAGAAACTCTTGATCATTGAACAAATTCTCATTATCAGCTCTTTAGTAATTGTATAAAGAACAGTATGGAGAATGTACATATGCTAGGGTGTAAATGGTTACTCTAGCCATGCATTTTTTAACTGGTAGAAAACTTGACATTTTGTGATAGGTGGATTGTTCAAAGTAAACAGAAGTTACTCCAGTGCTAGTTAAAAGCTTTCTTGATAGTTTTCACAGAAATCAATGTCTACGTAAAAAACATGGCTTAACTTAAGATGATCTAGAATGCAATTTTTAAACTTTTTTTTTGGTAAACAACTCTCACAATTTATCTGCCAGACTCAACTTGAGCTTTTGACCCTGAGTTGAGTATAACAACAACACAAACTTGCTGTGATTCATTTTCAAAAACATCCTGAAAAGTGAAAGCCCATGATAATCCATAAGAAAAGATGAAAAGGATACAAAGAAAAGAATTATCTGGTGATGCTTAACAGCGCCATAAATTCCAGCTGCAGCAACCAGCATAATAAACACTCCACATGCTATGGTGCCTCCTACTATTGGCCAACTGGTGAAAAGATTTGTAACTTTGGAGTAGACTGGACAAAGTATAAGAACAAAGCCTATGATCTGAAAAAAAAATAAATTGAAAAGAGAGAGGAATTAGATCAATGTGTACTGTGCAAAGAGATTAACCCTTTTTCCCATTGTGTAACTTCTCCCTATAATAACTGCACATCATTCTGCAAACAGGTAATGAGAATATCTAAACTCATCAGGTAGAAGTTATCTTGATCTAACAACAAATTCTTGTAACTACTTCACAAGGTAAAGTTCAGCAGCTAGAGGAGAGAATTAACAATCACATCTTGGGAGTTAAAGGGTTGAGTAAGAGGGTAAAATCTGGGATTGGTCATCTATTAAAGAAATATGAGTGTTACTTTAACATCATGCACACAGAATAGAGAAAACACTTAAGTTCAAATGGTTCATAAGTCTGCTTTTGTACAAAGGAGATCTGAAAAAGTTGTTCTTCTTTGTTTTTGATCACATGTAGTTATTCAGATATCACATTAATCCCTTCAAACCTAGGAGTGGCTGGCATCAAGTTACTCCTCACAATATCGCCCCTGAATCCCACATTGAGGTCATGAGAATAAAGGAAATGATCACCAATGAAAGATGCTTTTGATTGGTAAACAAATTCTCCTTGTCAGCGACTTAGGAAATGTATAGAGGACAGTATAGAGAATATGTCTACTGATTTCAGCACTAGAACACAAAAAAAAATCAAAATGAGGTAAGAACAAAAAGTAACACAGAAGTTGCAGCTGAGTGGGTCCCTAATGCTCTTACCAAATTCTGACATCCTCTGTGATCTATAACTGAACAGACACACAAAAACTAGGAATCTTTTTGCTTGATCCTTCATCTCTTAAGAGTGACTAGCATCTAATTTCTCCTTACAATATCACCCCTGGGTCACACATTGATGTCATTAGAATAAAAGAACTGGTCACCAACTAAAGAAACTCTTGATTGTTAGACAAATTCTCCTTGTCAGCACCTTAGTAAATGTACAGAGAACAGAATGGAGAACATGACTACTGATATTAAGGTGTAAAGGGTCAATCTAATTAACCCTTTAACTCCCAGAAGTGAATAACATGAAACTTCTCTCAATAATATCCATAAATTATTCAGCAAACAGCGATGTGAATATTCAAACTTATCAGGTGCTACCTTAATCTAGAACCAAACAAGTTCTCAAAACTAGTTTACAAGGAAATGTGCTGTAACTAGAGGGGAGAGTTAACAATCAGATCTTGGGAGTTAAAGGGTTAAGAAGAAAATTTTGCGGACTGTGATGTAATCTATGCCTCTGTCCTCCATTAGATCAAAAGAAAAGACCTATCAAAATGTATTTATAATTCAGCTTATTATAAATGGTCTAATACTTTTTTGCATTGCATTCTCAAAGCCCTTCACTATCCCATACAAAGGTTAACGTTGACAGCTTCCTTTTCTTTTTGGCTCCCAAAACCCATAATTTCCCAACTGCCAAACATGGAATCTTAGTTCCTCTCTGAACATTGTGCTGGAATCAACTCAGTGAGGCATAGCCCTAGCTTGCGAGGTCGATTAAAAAAATTCTATATATTTATATTGACTGCTTGATTCAACTCTGTAATTTCCATAGTATGTTCTAAATTATGAATACGCATTTGCGAAAGAACATTTCATTTTCCGCTAGCTAAAATGTCACTGAACAAAAATAGCTCATGATCTCAACTTCATACGAGAATTTACTTAAAACTTGCCCAAATTTTAAGCGATTTTTATACGACATATTCCACTAGGGCACATTACGAAATTACCACATTCATGGTAATAATTAATTCTACATTTTCGTCTGATAGTCTTATGTCTGAAAAGGAAGAACGCTGATGAATTGAACATGTAGCCACTTGCAACGAAGAGTTCATCGAACATAACCCACAAAAGACTCGCCTTACCAAATATATGACGTTAAAAAATATCAATCCCAGTCTATAACAACGAAACCCCATCATCGATCCTTTCTTCCTCGAGAATTTTTTCCAGAGTTACACTTTCGACCCAAGGATCCCTTAATCACATGATGATCTTAATCCAATATGGCGGTTTCCCTCCAAATAGTGACGTCATCTATAAGTAACCAATCATCGCTGTTTTTAGAAAACAGGGAGTTCCGGCGGCAGTTTTGAGATTTTTGAATGACCTTGAAGTAATACACTTTCAGACATACTTTTTTTTTCAGAATTTTTGCCTATTTCATCTGTGATAGGTATTAACCAACATCTTCGCTTAGTATCTTAGAGTCAGAAAGAGAAATTTCCGGAATAAGCAGGCAAACAAATTCCACCTCGCGTCTAATATTTTATTAATAGTTTTTTAGTTTTGCTAGGAAAGCATTTACGTAAAAACCAACATAATTTTCTTGAAAGTAATCTGTCATTGAGCAATTTTTATCAATCGGATGCTGATCCTTTCAGTTTGTAAACTTTCTATCCAAAAGGTTCCCTTTCGCTCTTGACCCGAAAGCTACAATATGAGCTTGCTTGCTTTTCGTGATACATGCGAAAGTTGCCTTTTTTCCTTCCAATAATTTAGTCAATTTGTCGCTCCTAATTTCGCTATCTATCTTGGCTGTTGTTTGATATAAGGCTCTTTTCAGACAGTATAACATAAGATGTGAAACTGAATCCTTTCAAATAAAATTGGACCGAGTCAGTTTGGAATTGTTTATCCAGACTGCATTCGAGACATCTGAAATTAACGAAAAGAAATAATGTATTAGAGGACATTTGACAAGTTTTCTATGTCAATTTATTTTCCAATTAAAACGTCTGATAAAAAAAGACAAAGATGTACCAGCGATATTATCCAATCATTGCTCGTGTTAGATCGGGATAAATCGGTGGTCGTGATTCCGTACGTGCGCACAAACAATGAGCCGAGCGACAACATTCCCGGATAATACACGAGAAGACTTGAAACGAGTCACAAAATTCTCACTTTGTTTTCCTTTTTACCTCACCGTGAAGATAATACAGGCTCAGAATTGTTCCTTTGGCGACTACAGAAAGGTAATTGCTTTTACCGTTTTCGCCTTAAAGCGCAGTTTCACAGCGTTCGGAAGGCACACTCGAGCGGCCGTTAGCCTTCGTTCCATGATACAGTTCCGGTTGTTTGCGGTGCTCTCCGAGACAGTCGTCGATTGAGATATTTCATTGTTCATTCACTCGTTCGTTTGGTTCAGGAAAGTCACATTTTGTGATAAACGCATTTGCCGATTGTGTTTCTCATCGAACTTGTCACCTGAAAGACTAATCCTATTTTGCGTTGTGCTTTTCTCGCTGGATTGCGTGTGCTCCTGTATTTTGTTCGTGTTTAATTGAAGTTTCCTGTATATGTGTAGTGAATGCAAATTAATTTGAGAGCTTCGAGGCACTCTGGTACTACGGAACCTCCGGTTGGCTTATTCAGTCCGCTTACAGCAATTTATGCCGTCTGCTCTTCAATTCGAAAATAGCTTAAAGCTGTCGCGGTTTCAAGCTGATGACAGCGTTTTTCCGCTGAATGTGTAAGACTAAGCTTAGCTAATCATCTTTAAGAACATATGCGTTTCAAGGTCGATTCATGTTCTGTAGTTTATTTGAACAATGTAACGGGGGTTTTCGGGGGGTCGAGATGTTGACGTGCTAGCGTTAAAGATCTGGATTTTTAGGGACATTTCCAAGGCTGCTATGCCTTCATTAAGCCTATTTAATGGTATTTGTTTTAAATCACGTGAAGAAAGGTCAGGTACGAATTTTGCATGTAGACTAGTTTAGCGCAGAAAATTTATCCGAAACACCATCATTCTGTAAATTCATGATTGAGAAGATGAGGTAAGAAGTAGCAACAAACTGTACAAGTTCTTTCTGCTTTTTTTTTTTTTTTCGTAATAACCATTCGGCTAATTTACAATTTTGACTTTAATACCGGTGAATGAGCAGAAGGACTCTAAAATGAATATATTCTATGTTGTACTGCGGTGTAACTTTTTAACACTCTCACTTGAAGAAAATATAGGAGTATCATGCGTTGACTAAATCAACTCAGAAAAACCAGATGTTAAGCCAGGTTGAGTAATGGCATCCTGTGATTTGCTTTTGCTGCAACATCTGTTGATCACTTGACTGGCTCTTGAAAAACTGAAGAGAAAGGTTCACCTTTGCCATTTCTTTACCTGACTGCTGAACTAACGTACGAGTCTTTTTCATGCGCACTTGCTGTGCAGAAAATTTAGAATTATGTCAAGATGTCCTTGTTTCAAAAGCTGGGTAACAAAACCAAGGAAGTTGGTTGTCCTGATGAATGCTTGGTTTCCTGTTTGAAAACCCCACATGTAGAGTGCACTGTGCTAAATGAAACTAAGGTTGCTTGTCTTTTCACGTATTTTGATGGACTTGTTTTCTTTTTTCAGTCATGTTTTGCATGTCTGACTTGCTCAATTTAATTTTCCTTGAGGGGTTAGCATTGTTCCATGAAATAAAATGCCACAATTTGAATCTAAGACAGGGAAGACTTAAATTCTACTCTGCTAATTGGAGACATAATTAGTCAAAACCTTATTGGAGAATTTTAGAAATATCTGGTAGAAATTTTTATCTCTATGTACAAGTGGTCTGCAGATGTGGTCACAGTCATGGCAATCAAAATCCCACTTAAGCTTCTGAATCAGTCGGATGCAAAACTGAAACTAATGGTTTTTTTCCCTCACATTCTTTTTCACCTCAGGCTGTTTCATTGGTATTACTTTCAATCATGATGGTCTCATTGTGATAACTACTTCAGTTCTGTTCTTATTTGGCCAGTGAAAGAACTTAATCTCTGGGTTTGCTCTGAGCATTTTTTTGTCATTCTTTTAGATATTTCACCCTGGCTACAGTTTCTTGTTGTGAGTCATCTAAGATGTCCTCATCCTCACCTGTAGCAGAGAACTGGTGTTACACTCAAATCAAAGTTATAAAGTTCTCCTACATGTGGACAATTAATAACTTCAGCTTTTGCCGCGAGGAAATGGGGGAAACACTGAAAAGCTCAACGTTCTCAGCTGGGGCCAATGATAAGATGAAATGGTGAGAAATCCATTTATAATGTGTACATTGTCTTGTAAATTGAGGATCATGTGAGAGAAAGTAGAAAAGCAAGAGCCTTGGGCAAGTGCCTTGTGTAGTTTTGACTCTTCACATTTAATACCTGGTCAGTGCACAAGAAAAAAGTTAAGCAAGTAGATCATAACATCTATTTTCTCCCAATTCTCTGAAGCTCTGCAGTAGAACAATCTTTGAGTTGGAAAGGTCAAGAAGTTGACAGAGAAGAAGGAGACAGAAGTTGTCTAATAATGTACATGTGTCTTTAATTAAGCAGTTTCAAGATGTCTACTCAAACTAAATAGAACTTTTATTATCAGAATGCATAACTTTTGCATTTCTGCATAAAATCCCCTGAAGAAGTAGCAGAAAACTTATTATTTATTTCAACAGGTGTTTGAGAGTGAACCCAAGAGGCTTAGATGAAGAAAGCAAAGACTATTTGTCATTATACCTTCTCTTACTGGCTTGTAACAAAAGTGAAGTGAGAGCAAAATTCAAGTTTTCAATTCTTAACGCTAACAGAGAAGAAACAAAGGCTATGGGTAGGTACAGTGACTGTCTACTGACCATTAATGATGTGAAGTTAGTGATGGTTTGATACCCCACATTTAACCCTGAAACTCCCATTAATGACCAAGATAGAATATCTCATTATGATATCAATACAAAACATACCAAGCATACAAGTGATGAGAATAAAGAAAACATCAATTTTTAGTTGTAGGGGTTTATTAGTACATCCAAGACCAAGTTCTCCAAACTAAAATCACAAGAATGTAACAGAAAGCAGTGAGGAAAATGCTTATGAGATTTTGGAAGTGAAAGTGATAAATATTCAATGTAAATGGACCCAAGTATAAATTTTGTGGCTGAATATGGTCTATCCAAGAGCAGTGAAGGATGTATCTGTGTTTCTTTGGCATTTGGTAGAGTTACATGCAGATTGTGATACATGTAGAACTAAAATTCTCTGAAAGTTTCTTTCATCTACATGTACTGTATGTAGCATAGTGTAGTAGGTATGCACAACATTGGTTAAACTTTTATTTTTCTGGCTTAGGAACATATACTCTACATTTTGGAGATTTACAAATTGTCATGAAATATTTGACAAGTAAATTCCATGTTCCTGTCCATCTGTTCAGTAATAGATCACAGATGACTTCAAAATGTGATAAAGACAGAAGAGAGGCACACAAGCTGACGCTGAGTCAGTTACTGAATCTTTAACCACACTTTGATGTCTTCTGTGTTCTGTTACTGTACTGATCCCCTGACAATATGGAATCTATTTGCATGTAATGATAAAAAGCAAAATGTCGTTCATGGTGATGTCATCTATGGGTCTCCCTTCCAATAGATCATAAGTAAGAACAATCAAATTGTGTGACTGTATAATTTAGCATATCATATAAACCCATTTTATTTATAGAATACTATTTAAGCTTGTTAGCTCAAATAGAGGCGTGAAATTTTAATATTAATTATTGTTTTCTCTGGTAAAAGTAGAGGTATTGCTTAGAAATATTTTTTTCAGATGTATTGATGTTGTCAGAGCTGGAAATTTCAAATTCTACTTAAGATGTTTAAATGCTTACATCTGCAATAATTTACATTAGTTTTGTATGGTATCATTTAAAATAGCAGATATGTGTTAAACATTTAAAAGAGATAATGATAAATCTTGTATCCAAATAATTACGAAGGGAAAATTTGGTAAAGTTGGTGGAGAGACATATCTATGAAGCATCTTCATTTATGCAATGAGTAGTGAAAAACATTGTATGGATTTATTTTTAAAGCACTTCCCCAATTGTATGGTATTATCAGTAACAAATATTATAAATACTTTTGTTTGCAGAGAGTCAAAGAGCTTACCGGTTTGTTCAAGGTAAAGACTGGGGTTTTAAGAAGTTTATAAGAAGAGACTTTTTAATGGATGAAGCTAATGGTTTATTACCAAATGATACATTAACATTG